GAGGGGGGAGGAGCTATAATGAGATTTGTTTAAAATAAATTCGGTGAGTAAATACTGAACTACATGAAGAATTTAAAAAAATAATAGGTCATTTTAAAGGAAATTTAATAAGCTTTAAGATATTGTTAAAATTTAATTCAAATATTATTTTTTCTGAAAATTAAAGAAATGTAAAAAGTGAGCAATTCGCAAAGTTAAAAAATTATGCTCATAATATGAAATACGCCGAAATACCGAGAAATCGATAATAATAAAGCACAAAGTACATCAGTATTGCAATAAAAAACTTTATTTAGTGTTTCTAAAATACAAACAAACAAGCCAATATGTGCGCAAAATGATCATGCGATACATTGTATCCAGAACTCGTCTTTAGTTGGAACCAAGCATTGCAGAAACAGGCACTCGACATTCATTCTGATTATCTTTTTTATTACTGTACAATAACATTCATACTTCAGCAATGATTGTCACTCGGACATAGGAATATAGGTTACTTTGTATTAGAAGTACCCTATTTCATGTTACAAGTTTCACGCCTTACGGCTTTACGATTATCAAATCCAACTTTTGTAATTAAGCAATTTAACATATTTTTCTATTAATATAATGTTACTTTATTACTACATAAAGAATTTATTGCCAAATATTTACTTTTTTTAAATAAATTAAATAGTAAACAAGATTTAAAGACTTATCTCAATGAAACTTGAAGATATCCAAATTCTAAAATTTCTTTTTACAATAACTACAAGCTTACAATCTAATAATGCATTTTACTAAATAGTTTTCAACCTAAAAATATATTCATGGTGGAATTACAAATATATTAGTTTAGCAAAAACGCCGATATTTCATATTAGGCATCTATCTTAAAGTAAGAGACTTCTCTCTCTCTCTCTCTCTCTCTCTCTCTCTCTCTTTGTATTATAAGTTTTTTATTTATAAAGATTTTTAAACACAAAATTTTTAAAAATATATCTTCAGTTGTGTGTGCAATTGTGAGTGTGCGCGTGCACGCACCTATGTATGTAAAAATATTCAATTAATACAATAATTTTCTAGTTTCTTCTGTACGAAATAAAAAAATACTATGTCATAATCTGGTTGTTTCTGAATACACGGTTCTGCTCTGTGGAGCAACGGTACGGATCATCGGGAGTCTATTCAAGCGGTGCCCGAACAGGGGACTCTAAGAATCTCTGGGAAAGGGAACAAGCATAATAAAGGGGTAATGCGATACGTATGATTTCGCTAACAATATACTGATCGTGGCGCTACTGACAATGCGACCCTTACATTGCAAACTTTATTAACTGGTCAATGGCCCCAGGCAATCACTGTCGACGACGTTGTCCGGTGCGGTGTTCGTTTCGCTCGGCGTATTCGCTTCCCTCTGTAAAAAGTAGGCCAATAAGTATGCGAACCAGTTTCCCTGACTGTTCGAATGACATATGTCGTGGTCGTAACAGCGCAACAACGAGTAAACAATTTTAAAAATGTTCTTGGGTTTCCTCCGAGAAGAGCCCGCGATTTGTCATTTTGCGAATCTTATCAGAACTTGTCGCAAAGGTCGCCAGCTATATCCACGTATCAAGTGTCGTCGATATTTTGATTTCTGGGATATTTTTAATGTCAACATTCCTAATTATATTTAAAAAGAAAATAAATTTGCTCTTTTTCCGATTTTTTTTATTACAAGTAATTACATAATCTTTTATATATTTTTAAATAGCAATTTTTAAATGTTAAACATTTCAATATAACTTTTCTATTCTTGAACCTTTACTTTTTCATTTCTTTACAACATTTCTCATATATAATTTTATATTTTTTGATGAAATTTTTTTATAAAACATCGATGCAAAGGAAATTATCAAAGTGAGCAATTTAGTTTGCAGTTTACTTGTTACCTATTTTTGACAATTACTATAAAGATTAATATTTAATATGTTCATCTTTTTATGAATATTCAAATATTTGATTTTTTAAATAATCTCTAAAGTAAAAACTTGTAACGACGAATTATGTCGCCTTGCTGATAACTTCGTGCGTTTAATGCATTTAAATATTTTAAGCGTTTATCTAATATATTTACACTATTTTTTTTGTATAATTTTTGTATAAATCAGCTGTATAAATGATATTGTTTGTGCTTGTACAATATTACATTTCAGAAAAAATCTTTTACATGCTATTAAGTTTATTTTTTTTTTATAGAGTTCCTAAAAAATATTATATAGGTACTCGTGATTTAGAGTAAGAGATATGATGTGGAAAATCATATATATGATTTTTATGATTATTTAAAATAATTATCGATAAAGATACTTTGATTATATGTCATACTTTATATGTAACAAAAATTGCATTAAGTAGCAGTTTCATCAAGATCGTTTGTTTGTAATATAAGAATAATGTATTTTTTTCGAGTGATTCTTAATGGCCTATCTAGTTAGACGCATATGTCACTAAGTCACTATATAGATGATATAGTAGACTATAAACCAACCAACATCCGGCATAGATCTGCGAAAAAAAATGCTGCGTTACAATCATAAATGATGACTCGCGATTCTTCCTTTTACGTGACATGTCTATTTTAATGCAGGTTTTGATGAAACACAATCTCGAAATTTGATACAATGTATTTATTTTAACGACACTTTGAAAATTTGCTTTTAGTTGCTATTAAGCTTAACGACACGCATTTTGCAGATACCATATTACGCTTGTAATCATACGTCTTACATGTCGCCGATGTTTATCTTAAATGTTGCATTTTTTAGTCGACTTCGTCGGACCTGCTTTCTCGCATCTACATTGTACGAAAATGATGACGGTATAAAAAGCAACGCGCGTTATTCGAATGCATATATATTAGGTTGAAATATATATATATATATATATTGTGACGTGA